GCCACATAAGGGAGAACCAGGTTGAACCATCCAACCGCTGATTTCTACTGGTTTTGGACCAATTTTTAGAACATTCGATTTACTGGTTCCATTGGACCGGACACAGGACCGATTCATTGGTCCCACTGGCTGGTTCAGTTCGATTTCATGAACCATGTAATTAACCTTTGAGAGTTAATTAAACATGAGGAGAAGAGTTAAAGATATTTTTCTAAACTCTCAAACTTTCTTAACTTTAATATTTTGAGTTTTCTTAATTTATGAGGTATTTTAAAAAAATAAAAAGACTCTTTATGATTAACTCTTTTTTGAGTTCTTTCTCTCTCTCTCTCTTTCTCCCACTTTGTATATGTGTCCCTTTGCATATGTCTGTGGTATTTGATTCTAGAATATACAACTAGAGTTTTAACTATTTCTCATGCAATAACCTCAAAATTAAAATGATTTTTACTTGGTTTATCATTTTTTTTAATTTGATTATTAAATTAATAAAATAGTAAAAAAATATTTTTTTAAAAGTGTTATGTTAATTTTAAAGAAAAGAAAAAAATAAAAAATATCAGTTATTAGAATGAGAATTTTTTAAAAAAATTATAAAAAAATAAAAATATTAATTTTTAGAAAGATAAAAATATTTAATTTTATATTTTTTGAAAAAAAATATATGATTAAAAAAATAATAAAGGGTAATAATAATATTATTTATATTAAACTCTTATTACTCTTTTCTTTTAATATTAAACATTCAAATAAAAGAGAGATTTTACCTCTTTCATCCTCCCTTCTCTTCTTTTTCCTTATCTTTTAAATTATTTTCTTCTCTCTCTATCCAAACTTTCAAACAAAGTATTAAGAAAATGAAGGTGTGACTCTTAAAAGAAGTAAAATAAAATAAAATGATTTAAACAAAAATAAGAATTTTTTTTTGAAGTTATGAAAAAAAATTATAAGAAATTGAATCTTGGTCATAATTATGTTATTTTTAAATTAATTTCATATTTTTTATTTAATTTAAGTGATAGACAATATACTGCATTGGATATATGTGATAATAAAAACATTAATTACATGATAAATGTGATTGCATAATAAATGAATATCAACAACAAAGTAATAGAATAATTATTGAGTTATATATTAATGTTGCATTTGGTAAGAGTTCTTTAATTCTCTCACATATGTTGAACTTAAACTTATCATTTTAATAAGCAAATGATATTGACATTTAGAATATAATAGTTAGATCAAGTAGAAAAATGATTACTAATTAATTTTTCTTTAAATTTTGTGTTATGAGAATTTACATCGATGGAGTTATTTTTGTAATAAAAGAAATTAAAGATAAAGATAAATATGAAGACGGTGATTATGAAAGAGAAATTTCCTTTAATCATTTAGAATCATATGAAATATATTAGATAATTTCACTAATTTCACCCTGATTTATCTTAAATGATTTGTATTAATAAACCAATATACTAGTTTTGGTTCATCTAACATTAGTTATTCCTTTAAAGTGTTTCACATTTTTTAGCAATCTTTTAGAAAAAAAATTTTTTTGTTGTACTCAGTTGTAGATAACACATAAGTAATGAAACACTTGACATTTACATTATTATGGTGCTTGTTTATTTTGTAAGTTAGTCTATTACTCCTTTGAATTTACATTACCATCTACATTTTTGGGTAGAAGGTGGTCACCATTTGGTACAATATTTTAAAGATTGAACTATATAGATCTATTGAATATTTTCATCTTATTTTTCTAAAACAAATAGTTGTCTCCAAATAATATTGGAGGTATGGAAATTGATCCTCCTTCTAAAATAAGTTGATTATAAATATTTGTCATAATTTTTTTAAGGATCTTTACCTCTTTTATTATTGAGTCCTAAACACCAAGAGATCGAGCTCTAATACCAATTGAAGTAAAGAAGTTGAAAACAAGAAAAAATGAGATTGAATCTATTCTTAAAATGTTTTTCTAAAATTTTTAAAAATAACTTGTTAAAAGCATGCAAAAAGCATATTTGAAACTATGAACAAACAAAATTTATACTAATTTATCCTTAAGACAATGAGCTATTTTAGTCCTTGACCTTAGCTAAGTTTTTTACTATGTATAAGATTTATATACATATATCTCATGATCAAGTATTTTAGTGTAAACTTCTTCAAGCTCAAATAAATTTCAAGCATTTTTTTATACATTGTCTACTCAAACAAATAATCATTTCCTAAATATTATCACTCATTCTCTTCAAGCTAATGGACTTTTTATACAAGAGAGAAAAAATTATACACAAAAAATAATTTGAATGAATAATTTTGCTTTTCATTGTATATTATCATTCCTTTTCTTTGTATATGAAGGTGTCTCTAATTTGTAGTAAATTTATTAAAAGTTTACATTAAATATTACCACATGTTCGTTAGACTTAACAAACTTCTTTATTAAAAGGTTTCTTGATGTACATAGAGACTTTTCTGACTTTAGAACACTTTATACTTTATCTTTTGGTTTTTTTGCCATTTTGATGTAAAGAACAAGAATGAGAAAAAAAATTATACTTTAGTCCTTAAAAAATAAATACAACATTATTTTTCTCAATGAAAATGTTGCTTTCACCATCAACTATTTAAATTTTACTAAATTCTTAATTTTTAAATATTTGACCTTTGTACTTACAATTTTTTACTTGAATACACTTGCTTCTAAATTAATCTTTGCATTTAATTTTTTTTTTAATTTATCTTGACACTTAGACCATCTTTTGTTAACATACACGCTAGATAGCCAACCTAACAACAAACTTTTGTTAGCTAACTCTAATTAATATATTTGTATAAATAAGCTTTTTTATTCTTTAGTAATTAATTAATTTTTGGAGATTTTAGTTTCTCAAAAAATATTTCTTCTCAGATCAATAAACAAAAATTCTCTCTTTTTGCAAAGTTAGTTGTTCTTTCTTTCCTTTTACATCTTTTGAGTCTTTTTTTACATAATTTATTTGATCTCATATCATCTCACAAAAGATATGGTTCTTACTAACTATTTGATCATCTTATAAATCTTACTAAAACACTTGATCATACATATTAATAATATGAAACATTTTATTTTAGATAACTTTTTCATTTATCAAAATTTATACTCTAATCTTTTAATATTTTATTTAACAAACATATTATTTATGTAATATTTCACATAATAAAAATTTATATATGAATATTTTTATTAAATATTATAAAATTTAATTTATTAAAATTATTCATTATTTTATCGAGTCTTTTTAATGAGAAATAAAAAAATAATTAACAAAAATAAATAAATAATAGTTATATACCATAAATTTATAATATATTTAAAAAATACTCATAATAACTGTCAATTTGTTAACTCATATAAACCAACGAGTATATCTATTTGTACGAGTAACGAGTCAAGTCAGTATTTTATCAACACAAATTTTATAATAAATATAAATTTATTAAATCAATGAATAAGTCTTTATTTTTTATAATTTAAAAAAATAAGTATCATTATTTTTATAATAAGATAAAATAAATATTTATTAATTTTTTATTATATGTTTACACAAGTTTAATAAAGAACTTAATTAGAATAGAGTACCCAGTGTAGCAAATTTTTACATTATTATCTAATCAAAATTTTTACATAATTTTAATTGATTAATAGTGTAAATTTTTTATACTCATGGTGCATTAAAATTAAACTGTTTAAAACAATACGAGAGAATCGAAATTTCTATATCAACAAAACATTAACTTATAATAATTAATTTAAAAATTATATTTATTGTATATTTAATTTAATTAATAGTGTTATATTAGTAATACATCAAAATTAAATTTGTAATATTTTAAACACATGTTTATATTGATAAATCGTGTTAGTTTTATAATCTTTAATTCTGATTCTTGATATACTATAGAAAACAAATTAAAAAACAAGGAAATGTCCTTAATTCTGTAATTTTTCAGACCTTTTAATTATTCTCGCGGTAAGGCGCCATGTGAAGGCCCGTGCATCCACGAGCCATCCACGACAATGACATTTGCTCACTTGTAGTGGCGTACCCCACCCACTTTCCTTCCCCTCACTTTCCTTCTTTGTCCTTCAACCAACTCTAACTATATCAATTTAGATGAAAATATTTCATTATTTTAATTAAATTTAAATTCACCACAAAAATATATTTTTATTTATTATTTTACATGTTCCTTCACCTCACAAGGATAAAATTTCCTCTATACCGTGCTGCAAATACATGCGCGCCTTTTTATTATCAAACAACGGGCACAGTTATTTAATTAATATATTAATGCAAGCATACACATGATTAATTAAAGTTTATCATATTAAAATTCTATTTAATTAAAGAGAGAAACATTAATCACATACTTTCTTAATTATTAAATACAATTTATCAAAAATTATAAAAAAATTAAATTAAAAGTTAATAAAAAAAATTTTAAGTAAATTTTAATTAATAACTAAAACTAAATATCAGTCTAAAGATTCGTCATCTACTTAACATAGCACACATTGTTTAGAGAACCGAGCATATGATGTCTGCTATGTTTCTCCAACTTGAATTATCATTATTTTTATTTTCCAATGAAATTCAGATTATTATTATCATTAAAATTTTGTTCATTTGATTAAGTCTCTGTTTATTTTAACGTAGCAACAGAAATTACAAAAATTTCGACAAAATATCACGTTGAGGTTAATTTTTCAAAAAGAAAAAGAAAAATTCAGTAGCAAACAAAATTTTCAATTCTTTTGGTAGAAGAATCTTTGCCTAATACTTTAGTATTGATTTTTTAATATAATATTTATCAATGAATAATTATCATAAAATCAATCCAAATCGAATCATTGATTAAAAAAATCATTTTATATTTTCCCGGATGCTGACGTGTTGTGGCTGGCATGCAACTACGCTTTGGTGCGGTGGTGCGCCCGCACACGCACATTCGTGCGCTGCACACACTATCATTTCTCTTATCCTTTGGATGCAGCAAATTCAGAAACTCCAAAAACCAACGAACGATTTCTACGAATCGAAGAATAAGTCATGCACGTGGCAAGTGACACGACGACACACATCTTGTTAATTAGGATATTAAACATTTAATTTTTACCTTAATTTAACTTTATTATCAGATGGATAAAGCTAGTGATGGAGCTGCGAAATTCTTGCAACTGGTCCGACAAAATTCCAAAAGGTTGTTGACCTCATCTATCGCCTTGCAATGTCTCGGAGCATCCAAGAGCAAGAACAGCCACTGTTAGAGGACTCGTTCGAAGGAGAAGAGGAGGCACAAGAAGCGGCTTATGATTCCTCGGAGAAGATCGTGGTGGTGGGAATCGACGAGTGGGATAGCGAAGAGAATTGGGCCAGGGTGCCGCCGTTCTCGTGGAAGAAGCTATGGCTGTTTACTGGGCCGGGCTTTTTGATGAGTATTGCGTTTTTGGATCCTGGGAACTTGGAGGGGGATCTTCAGGCTGGTGCCATTGCTGGGTACTCGCTGTTGTGGCTTCTGATGTGGGCCACGGCCATGGGCCTGTTGATCCAGCTCTTGTCGGCGCGGCTCGGCGTGGCGACGGGGAAGCACTTGGCTGAGCTGTGCAGGGAGGAGTATCCAACATGGGCCAGGACGGTGCTTTGGGTGATGGCTGAACTCGCTCTTATTGGCTCCGATATTCAAGAGGTTATTGGCAGCGCTATCGCTATCAGAATTCTCAGTCATGGGGTCATTCCTCTTTGGGCCGGGGTCATCATTACAGCTCTTGATTGGTAATTCAACTAACCATTCCCTGCTTCTGCTTTTCGGTTCTTTTTTCTCCCGTACCCCAAGTTTTGTGGGTGATTTTTATATTGAACTTATTTCGGGTGGAAAATATTTAAGTGCATTATCACAGGGTGCTTTTTTTTTTTGTGTGTGTTTTCTGATCATAATTAGAATTTCACTTTGGTAACGTGTGCCACCGTTAATGCGTAGAGCACCGAAGTGAAACTTAAATTCTGGTCGGGAAGCAACAATAAAAACACCTATAACATTACACCTCTAATTATGATCCAATCAAAAACACTAAAAACACTTACAATTCTAAACCTAAGTTTTTCCCTTTGTTATTTATGGTACTTCTAGCTAGTTATTCAGTGTCTTAAGAATTTTTTAAGGTATTGATAAATATAGAGATCTCATTAGAAATCATATTGAGTTTACCTTGTAAATCGCATCAGAAATGTAAATTAGAAGTTCTTGAGTCCTTTTTGTGACAAAATTATAGAAGTTACTAAAACATGCAATTTGTTTCCTATTATTAAACTATGTCCGGTAATGTAGAATTAAATGCTGACACACTTGTTGCCTTGTTACAGTTTTATTTTTCTCTTTCTTGAGAACTATGGTGTGAGAACATTGGAAGCTTTTTTTGCTGTTCTCATTGGTATAATGGCAATCTCGTTCGCATGGATGTTTGGCGAAGCGAAGCCTAGTGGCAAGGAACTTATTCTTGGTGAGTGAGAAGTTTATTTCACTGATTTGGCCCGTGCAAATTTAAAGTCATTATAAGTAAATTGTTAGCTGTTCCTCTTGTTTTAAATCTGATAGAGTCTGATTTCATCTTTGTAGGCATTTTGGTTCCAAAATTAAACTCCAAAACTATACAGCAAGCTGTTGGAGTTGTGGGCTGCCTTATTATGCCTCACAATGTGTTCTTGCACTCTGCTCTTGTTCAATCAAGGCAGGTTGACCGCAGTAAGAAAGGCCGAGTGCAAGAAGCTCTTAATTATTACTCTATAGAGTCTACCCTTGCCCTTATAGTCTCCTTTGTCATAAATATATTTGTCACAACTGTGTTTGCTAAGGGGTTTTATGGTTCTGAACTTGCAAATAGCATTGGTCTAGTAAATGCCGGACAGTATCTTCAGGAGACATATGGTGGTGGACTGCTTCCGATATTATACATATGGGGTATTGGGTTATTAGCGGCAGGCCAAAGTAGCACTATTACTGGCACTTATGCTGGACAATTTATCATGGGAGGTTTTCTAAATTTAAGGTTAAAAAAATGGATAAGGGCATTAATTACCCGAAGTTGTGCTATAATCCCAACCATGATAGTTGCTCTGATATTTGATACCACAGAGGAATCTTTAGATGTTTTGAATGAGTGGCTTAATGTTCTTCAGTCAGTCCAAATCCCCTTTGCTCTTATTCCCTTGCTTTGTCTGGTGTCAAAGGAGCAGATAATGGGCACTTTCAGAATTGGCGCTGTCCTCAAGGTATTTTCTCATTCAATCTGCATTTTGATCACACTGGTCACTTATTAGATGCTGTTTGTATATAATTTAGTAAAGGACTTTGCCATCCCAACTTAATTTATTTTGTATGAAATTGCTGTCTGTATATGCCTATATATTATCCATCAATGATATCAAACTTTAAATTTAATTAGGTATGATGTAATTTAGAAGTGGCCCAACATAGAACTATTCTCCTTGAAGTTGGCGATAATTTAAAACTTGTTAAATGTATTCTAATTTGCTTTGCATTTTAGATTCTAAATGAGGCAAGTGGGGGGGGGGGTGTTTATCCAGTGGACTACTATCATTACTACTTTTTCCTTTATGTATTTCAGGCTGTTGTTTATCTTGCGAATGACTATTCCCATATCATAATAAGTACCTGATACAATACTGCAGAATTTCTTTTATCTTTTTTTGTTATTTATCATTTTGATATTGATGTGTTTAATATTATTAGTATGTTAAGCAGTTTGTTGAACCCTGCTGCTTTTGGAAACTGCATATTAAGTCATCGTTGACTTCAATTATCCATAAATCATACACATGCTTTTGTTCCTGCTCTTCTCTTGAGGGTGTAGTTCTACTTTTACGCTGGTTTACTTAAAGTTTGTGTCATCAATTCACTTAATTTCTCATGTTATACACGGAACCCCCACATCTTTGAAGTAGTCTACCCTTCACCTGCCGTATTTCTTTCCTTTCTTTTTCTCTTTTGGATAATCCTAGGTGTTTTCTCCATTGAACTTGCTCAGTGGATTTTTAGTTTGACACTTTAACTTGGGGGTTAAGTGTTTTTAAACCTTAGCATTGATACTTATAGTTCGATTCTTCAACTTGCTTCCGTGGGTTTCTGCTCTTACCCTTATTCCCATATTATTGTTCGTAGTTTATTTTGATTAATTACTGAATGGCTTCTGATACGGATGCAGACTATATCATGGCTTGTGGCTGCGCTGGTGATAGTGATTAATGGCTATCTTCTGGTGGAATTCTTCTCCTCTGAAGTGAATGGACCAACATTTGGCGCTGTAGTGGGTGCATTAACGGCTGCATATATTGCATTCGTTATATACCTTATCTGGCGTGCCATCACCTTTTTACCTTGGCAAAGTGTGACACGATCAAAGACAATTGTTCCCTCAGAGAGCTAAGGAATCAATCTTTAAAACCGCGGAATTGGAAGTGGCATTCTGCTACGACTCTCGTGATTATTACTTTTGCCTCTGACCCCTTATGCTTGTTACACTCATATGACAAGTTCTGCTCTGGGTTATGGGTTATGGGTAGTGGCACCTTATCAGTTGATGTAATTATAGAGTAAGTCAGAGTAGATTTTAACACACTATCATTTTCAAATTTAGAACCTTATTGTTTTCAAAAGCCTTGGAAACACACTGATTAGTCGAGACAATTTCAAAGCATCAGTGTTCGAACAGGCAATGTTGCTCCACTTTCTCCTTTCTTTCTTGCTCTCTCAATCTTTTTCATATTCTTTTGGGCGAGAGCTGCGGTCATCAAATTACACCAAATACTTAAAGCTATTATGCCCCTTTATGCAATAATCATTAAGGTTGAGGCATGACACAATTTCATTATAGAGGAAGAGAATCTAATATATTTAAATAATCAAATTTTACATCATAATTATTACTTCATTTTTTTACAAATTTTTAAGAGGAAAAGATGTTGTTTCATTCTGCGGTAGAGTAAGCTAAAGCATCTCATCCTAAGAAAACGAGTGAGAGTTTGAATGTAATGCTTCTAATTTCTACACTACGTTCTAATATCAAATAAATTTGACACTCATTTCAACAAGTTTTCCTAATTCCCGAATATCAATTATTTGTAACGCTCTTATTTAATAAAGCGTTCAAATTAGTCAAATTTTGCTTTATTTTTTAAATTCATGAATATTATTCATTTAAACCTCTTAGTCAATTGTAGGCTTATATTTTACGTGATTATTCATATTTATGTGAATTAATAAAAAATCTAAATGTGAAAATAAGAATTCTAAATTTATATCAAAGCATAGTTTTAAAGTAAATAAGTTGAAGTATTTTTATATTTTACACGTTTGGCTTAACAACGTACACATAATTTATATAGTAAGAAGATTATATTTTTCTTTGTGCAATCCTCCGCCCTCATTCTAATGCATACTTAAACTCAACATTGACATGTGTAGACTCTTTATTTCCTTTTCCATATTTATTTAAGTAACATGAAATAAAGAAATAAAAGGGTGAGAAAGAACAAACAGACAAAATATTTATGCAATATCCTAAAAACAAAAGTACTATATTTGTTATGCAATTATATGTCAATTCATCAAAATTCAAATTCATATTCTTATTAAAAAATCTCAATATCAATATTTACTTTAACTTTTATTAAATCTTATTTCATATAATAAAAGTTCTAAACAAATGTTTATAAATAATTATTTATGAACAAGCGTATCCGTTAAAAAGTAATAAAGAGTTTTAAATTAACTTTTCAAAATATCGTCCCTCAAAAGTTGTTTCTAAGTACTCTTAGTTTAATTGTTTGAATTATAGCATGTGGAATTAAATAAAATAAAAATTTAATATAAAAATAATTAATAAAAATAGTGTAACCTTTAACAATAAACTACTTGAGAAGAATTTAAGGCATATGATTTCACCTTTATATTTCTCTAAGTTTACTTTTAGATTAATTCTAATTTTGATTTCCTTATATTGTCAATCATTTATACTAAATTTATTAACACTCACCGGTCACACAATGTTAATAATTTTTTTTTCTCTAAATTATTATCTCCAATGATCATGTAAGGTAAAAGGAAGAGAAAACATAAAGTCTATGAACTATTAATTTAATAACGATTGAAAAAGAAGAACTAAATTTGGTCCACTTAATTCTTTTTCTCATTTTATTCTATAAATTCATTGACTATATGTGATACAATCACCTATAATATAATTAATTATGATATATTTAAGAGTTGTCAATTTTGAACATACAAATATAGCTTAATAAGATAAAAACTAATCAAGAAAAAAAAAGTGAAGTTATCATTAATCATAAAGATCCCATAAAGTCATGCAAAAGATTTATCATAATCTTGTCTATAGATTTAGCGAGACATAATATAATAGAAAACTAAAACTACAGTGAACCAATTCATAGTTATTCGAAAAGTAAATACAAACTAGAAGAGTTTCAAACGAAGAAAAGATGAAGAAGACTCTTAATTCCAAGACACGATTCCAAAGATCTAGTAGTCATTAGTGACTAGTCAAAACCACAATTGAAGATATAAACAGGTGAAAGATGTGAAAAAGATGCCTAAGTTGCTGCCTTTTAAGTTTCTTTTATAGGGTTTCAAAATCCTAATATGTTTTCATGGTTGAACTTCTTCCATACATGTGGATCGAAACACCTCTATATTGGTAGTTGGGGTAAGGGCATGTTGGCAGTGGCAAGATCCTATTTTTCATATAATTTGAGCCCAAAATACTCCTAAAAATCTAATTAAGTCCTTTAATGTTAAATTACATAATTAATATATAAATTAATGTAAAATTCAAATAAAACCATAGTCATTCATAAATATATAAGCTATAAAGCATACCAAAATATAGACTTATCAATAATGCTCAGAATTATATTCTCATGCTAAGTCTAAATGCCTCGTGCATTCATTTCTATTATCAAACCATGTATTACAAGTGTATCTCATCACATTTCAATCATACTCATAGACATGTCTCATTACCTCATAATTCTTACAAGATATTATATTATCACCAATTAACACATATTGTCTCATAAAATTTTTTATTGAATATTACCATTCTCATATACTTTTATGAAACTCACTTGTTCAAAAGAGATGTTTCTTTTCTCAAGTTTCTTTAATTTTTTCAAAACTCAAGTTCAAGATACATTTTCTCACAATTTTTCACTATTCATACTTCAAAGTATAAATATATTATACTTAAATAATCAAGATTTCTATAACAAGTTCATGTTCAAGATCTATTATTCTAAATTTTATTTCAAACAATCTCAAACACAAATTATATCCCAAGGTTTACAAAAATATATTTTCTCAAAGTTTTTTACTATTCATACTTCAAAGTTTAAATATATTATACTTAAAATATTCAAAATTTATTATTCTAAATTTTATTTCAAACAATCTCAAACATAAATTATATCTCAAAGTTTACAAAAATAGAATAAAATTTGGTCATTTCTAATAAAAAAAATAGTCACTTTGAATAAGAACTTCATCAATATATGAAAATAACTATATTCATTCAAACAAAGAAAGTGTCAAAGCTAGCAAATCACAAATTTTCATAGAAATAACAAGGAATTAACAAATAAGTCGTTTAGATAATTTTCTAAAAATAAATTCTTATAAGAGAAAAAAATAGTATAAATAATAAATAAAATTTTTTATGTTAAAAATAACTTATCAGCTTAAAATTTTAAAAAGTTAAATGAGAAAGTTTTTCAAAACTTTTCAAAATATAGAAAAATATGAGTTATTTATAACTTATGAGAGAAATTTTATTTATTTTTAAATTAATTTTTTTCTCTATAAAAACTTAATCAAGAGTTTACCTAAACAGAACCTATAGGCTATATTAAGTTCAAATAAAATACTAACACTTACAAACTCAACTCAAGAAAATTAAGACATGAAGAAACATGAAATGTCATCAAAATATATTCAAGCAAACTGAACCAAGAATAGGTTATAATTTATTTAAGAATGAATTTTATATCAAACAATTATTGTAAAGATCAAGATAAAGAACAAATTTAAGATTTTCATCTTAATCAAAAATTAAAGAAAATTTTCTTCTCCCATTTCTTAATTTTAAAATTAATTATGAATTAGTCAATATATATAAGGTTCAATGAATTTAAGACATTTACAATGAAATTCCAATTTTAGTTTAAGTTTGAAATTCTAGGAAAAATTACCTTCTTTTGTTTTGATTGTTATTTCATAAAGGTGATATAAGCTTATCTCCTTTCCTATATACTTTCATGATAAAAAACAAAGCATAAACAAACAAAAAAATGAAGATGAAGAACATTTATAAATTTATTTTAACTTGGCCATGAGATTTTAGAGAATTTTATTTTAGTTTTTATTTTTTTCTAATTTCATTAAGGTGATATAAGCTCTTTTCCTTACCTTTTCATGAGTTTGATTGAAGGACATAAAGAAGAAAGGTTTAAACTTTATAAGTCTAAAGATTAAAATTAAAACTTCAAAGATTCAAGATGTAAGATTTCTTAAAAATTAAAGTGAAGTGTTTCAAATTTTTTAAGATTTGAAACTCTTAATAACACTTATGAATACTTAAGTTAAAATTAAAAATACAAAGAAAACTTAATGAAAATCTAAAAGTTTCATAACCTCACCAAGGCAAGCACTCAATTCAGGCAAGAAAGAAAGAAATGGTTGAAGGTTTAGTACAAGATGAATTTGGTTCATGGCCTCTTATTTATAGCAAAAATGGTGGCTAAGTCACGATCAATTAGGTAGGAGAGTAAAATAAAATCAGTCTATTTAGTTAAAATCAAACTTAGTTATTTACTTTATTAATTATATTTTCACTAATTTTTTTGGCTCCTATTGAATACTAACTAGTTATTATACAATATAACAAATGACTTCATGATAATTGTCTATGCTTAAGCATGGCACTAGGTTCCTACTTCTTATTTTCTTCCATTGTTTTTGACCTTCACATCTAAAGCTTTCTAATTGTTCAGTGGTTTCATGGTTAGTTTGATCACTTCCTTATGTCCATCACCTTTGTGAGCTTCCTTAGCCTTTAGTTTACAATATTTAAATATAAACTATTTATATTTAATATCATAAATAGTGAGTAATATATAGCAATACATTGCTATGTTTAAATACTAAAAATGTCTTTAAATTAATATAACCTTTTTATATGATAATGTATAAATTATATGATTAGTTTCTTTATTTTTATATCTAATTAAATACAAGGTATGAAACGTGTTACCTTATAAAGTTTAATTTTATTTTTTTTAATACTTGAGCAAAATTTTAAAATAAATATCTCACATTAAGTTTTATTGAACATAATTATATTTTATAGTCTAACTCTATCTAGAAACTTTATAAATATTACTCTTATTTCATAAAAGGGACATATTTTATTTAGGTCACTCATATTTTTTCAATAGATTTACTTTATGTCTAACATTTAATTTTATAATCACCTTATTATAAGTGACATTTGATAAGATTAATACATAGAGTTAGTCATATATAAATCATAGTGACTTTATGAATGACCACATACACCATTATTACATTGAAAATTATTTATAACAATTATATAATGATCCATATAATTTTCTCATTATAAGTTCAATATATCATTACTCTCAATGTGTATCTATGTGAGGATTTCATATTTCATATACATGTGAAACTTGATCATCAATTCATGTATGCGTTACTCTTAAAATATTATATTGTTCTAATATTAATATTTAACTAAAGATATTTTAATAATAGTACTGTAAAATCTTACAATTAAGTCATTTATTTAATATTATACGAAGTTGTATTTATTATTTTAAGAATATAATTATATTCTTATAGAAAGAATTAAATCTGAAATATAAATATATGTAAATTCATAATGTGTATTCTTGTTATATTGCTAGTGAATTTGAGCATTCTTTACATAAAATAGTCATTGGAGCATTTTCTTTAGCCTTAGTTTAAGTAATTGAATTATGTTAATTTTAGAGTAATTACATGAATATTGTAGAATAACAAAAATGCATGAATTCTTAATCATATAGATGTTGACACTAAATCCTTTGATAATTGGAACTATGTGAATTATATTATTTCTAATATTATTCTTTTTGCAAATCCTATTCATAAAGTAAAAAATAAAAGTAATTATTGCTTCAAATCCTTCCCATGAGAACAAGTTCAAACTCAATGTAAATGAATTAGCAACTTCTTTGTGGATTTTGCCAACAAACTTGATCTTTACTCTTTTTATTGTTGAATTATGAGTCTTTTATCAAGTCTCTTTTTAAGTATAAGCTTTCAAATATGAAAAAGTCATGATGAAGATAGATTCCAAGATATCATTCACTTGGTTAATTCTAAGATTAATAAAAGATATAGAATTTTAAAAAATTAAAAAATTAATTCAATCTTGTAGAATTATCTATATTTATTATACATAGTTTTAAAAATAAATATAGTAATTTTCTCTTACTTTAAGGCTAATGGTTGTAAAATTTTGTTGGTCTTCCCTCATAAATTTATTATCAAAGTAATTATTAGACAAAATTTTCTAAAATTATTAAGCAATTTTGTCTTATTTTATTTATTAGATGATTACATATTATTAAATAAAAAAAATAATGTTATATATATTATTAAAAATTATACTTAAAAATAATATTAAATATAAAATTAATATGAGGAAGGATTTTCTTATATTAGTATAAGTTTAAAAACTCTTATACTCGATTTGAGTCTTTCATTTAACTTACACCTAACGGTTAGTAAAGTAATAAATTATAACTCATTAGATATAAATTAAATAAAAAATTTAAATTGAGTGTAAGAAATTTTACACTTATACTAGTGTGAGAATTTTTTTTAATTAATATATATATATATGTATATATATTAATTATGTATTTAACAAAAGTAATATAAATAACTCTTTTACTTGAACTTATAAATAAATAATGTATTAAATATAATATTATTAATATTATATTTTATTTGTGAGTATATATCAACAAAATTATAAACATTTTTTATTTAAAGTATTGCTATAATAAAATATAATATAAATACACGTTGATGTAGTTTATGAGTTAAATGTAAGTTAAATAAGAAAAATATAATTTTTACCGTTTGACGGAAATTTCAGGTAATTGTCTATATGTTTTGTCAATTTATTTTTCATATTAAATACTATTTTTGTTTTATTTAAATCATTTAAAAATTTATATAAAATTATTTTAATATATTTAAAAAATAAAAAACAAATTATATATTTTTAAGTTGAAGCATAAAATATGTTAATAAACTTATCTAAAAATATAATTTTCTACTTTTATTAGATAATATGTTGTTTCAAGTAAAATTAAAAGCAGAATACGATATTTTCATAAATCCATTTTTTTTACCCCGAGAATAATCTGTAGTCCCGTTTCACTATTCCTGTTTTCTACTCTTCTTCCATCTTCTTCATCTTTCGCCCGTGTGCTTCGTCCATCATCCCCTAACACGTAAAGCAAAGAGTAAGCTTTTGAATCTCTCATCCGAACGGTGCCTAATTTCCTTAACTTCCAAGCTGCGACTTTGACGCCCCAAATTTTCAAATTGGGGGTAAAGACAAGAGCTTGCGGGTTGGTTTATTTTAGCTACGAGTTTCTCGCATTAGAACTGAGGTATTACTATTTTACCTGATTCACCCTTCATTCTATATCTTTAACTGAATGTTTGGATTTCGTGTTTTCGTTCTTGTAAGTCCTAGCAGGTTTCAAAATTCTGTTTGTAAAGAATTGGATTCGGTATTTCGTTTCGGTCGATATTTTTGTTTATGACTGTAAACATCTGCAAATGCGTTCTGCTACAACGGCAACGTTGCTCTGTTGTATCCTTAATATACTGCAATGGTATTATTGCAGCTCTGCATTTTAAACCCTTAAAATTTAATAATAATTAAACCTTCTGATGTTTGCCCTATTCCATTAACCATTGGAAGACATTATGTGACAAAAATATTGCCAAATTGTTTGGGTCCATTTGATAAGCTATTGGTACTTTTGGTGTTTTGATATGCAAAACGTAATTATTTTAGATAAATGGTTGAGGAAGGTATGGAGAGGTGGGTAGAAAGCTGTGAGGAAGACATGGAGATATTAAATACCAGGTTAATAATTTGGTCTTTAATCTGTTTCCATTTCCTGTGATAGATGTATTTAGCAGCAACTACGGTTTTTTGTTTTTTTCTTATTTTATTGTTAATGTTCGTAATTGTTTTTGACCGCTAAGTCGAACTGTTCTTGAAGCATTGTTGGCTAGGCTGCATGAATATGGGTGACGACATGGAGCAAGGCAAGGAAAATAACGCAGAGTCTATGATAGAGCAGCTTGCTCAGGCATTTCTTGAATTGGAAGCTCGGAAGGGGGATTCTGAGAATAAGCTTCAGTGGCTTGAAATTAAGCAACATTTCCACGACCTTGAGAACGCGTTGAAAAAGAAAGTTGAAGAGCTGGAAGCTAAGGAGAAGGAGTATGAAGCTAAACAATTAGAGCTGGATGCACTACTTGCTGAGAGGAAGGCAGCAGTTGCTTCAAAAGAGCAAGATCTCTTAGATCGGTTGCAGGAGCTTAAAGATGCTGCTGTAGTGTCCATTGTAGAGGCTCATGCAAATCACCAGAATGCAACTCTGGAGTCTGTGTATGATGGGGAGAACAAAGATAACAAGGTAAGCAGCTCTCTTGGCGATGCAAATTCCTCAGAGGAGGATTTTCCTCATAAGTCATGTGAAAAATCTGATGGCATGACTGTTGAAGTTAGGCCACATCCTGAGCTGACACATTTTTGTGAGCAAATGGATGCGAAGGGTCTTCTGAGTTATATAATGGAGAATAAAAAAAATCTATCTGTTATTCGTGGAGAAATTTCTGTTGCATTAAAAAGTGCAACTGATCCAGCACGTTTGGTGCTGGATTTACTGGAGGGGTTTTACCCCACCAATGAAACTATCCAACTAAAAGATAAAATGGGTGCTGCCCTTCAGGGCATGCGCAAATCCTGTATTATAATTTTGGAGGCCATGGCCACCTTATTGGCAAGGGCTGACCCAGGTGCAGATCACCTTCTGAACCCTGAAACCAAGCAGCAAGCCAAAGCAATTGCTGATGAGTGGAGGCCCAAGTTAGCTAGAGCAGACACTGATGCTGCCAATGGAAATTCATTGGAAGCAGAGGCATTCTTGCAGCTTATTTCAACTTTTAGGATTGCTTCAGAGTTTGATGAAGAAGAACTCTGCAAGCTTGTACTTGCAGTTGCTCAGCTTAGGCAGGCACCTGAGCTCTGCCGCTCTATTGGGTTAATTCACAAAATGCCAGGTTGGTGTTCTTTTAATAAACTGACCTGTGAAGTCTGCAATGAAGGATTGTCCTGTCAGATATCATCCATATACTAGATGAGTAGTTTTCTTTTGGGGCAGTATAGCTAGATTACCTGACCAAAAGAGTAGACTCATGTGACATATATTCTGCTGCTTTTGGTATGATTTACACGTGCCAAGAGGTAATATGATTATCAGATGTTGATTATTGTAATTTTCACTATTTGTGCAGTTGTTGTAGAATCCTTAATCAATAATGGGAAACAAATTGCAGCCGTACATTTTATTCATGCCTTCCAGCTACAAGAAAGCTTTGCCCCTGTACCCCTTCTGAAGTTATACCTCAAGAACAGAAGGAGAAATTCACAAGTAAAGACTGGAAACGTGCGTGATATTGCCAGTGCCAAGGTATGCTTTATTGCTTGATTGCAAATTTGCAATTTCAATTGAATAATTGTCTTTATTCAATTCATCTTGTTCTGCATTGCTTGTATTGTCATATTTTATGTACATACTCTCATTTATTTGCAGAATGATGCCAATGCACAAGAGCTTGCAGCACTGAAAACTGTAATTAAGTGTATTGAAGAATACAAGCTCGAATCTGACTACCCCCTTGATACACTTCGGAAAAGGGTTACTCAACTAGAGAAATCAAAGGCAGATAAAAAGAGAAGTGGAGACTTTAGTAAACGTCCACAATCAAAGAGGCCGAGACCTAATGAGAGATATTGCTCACTCCATTCATCTGTTGGTAGTGCTGCTTCAACTCTTGTTTTGGGTAGGCAGGTTCCTCCTCTTAGGGCAGCATATGCAGGCACTCCTGATAGGTATCCCCATTCAGTTGCAATAACATATGATTATCAAGTTCCTGGCCAAGCTATATACACTCAGCCAACTAATGCCCCTCCTAATTATGGTCGTTATATGGGTACTAGTTTGCATTCCTCGCACCAGCCATACATATGATTACATCCAAGCGTTGCTGGAAAGACCAGAGACTTATGAGCAATCAACTCATTAGTGTATGTTTGGTTTTCTGTTGGGATAGAACTTTAACGTACATTTGCAAGAAGCAAAAAGTTATTACTTTTGCATTTTCATGCTTAGGAATTCATATTAAAGGAAAACCAAATACACCCTTAGTGACTGTACCTGTGCATTAAATATATTGTTTTGGTTCTTTTTGATATGATGCCGAAGGGCAGGTGTACGCTTACATTTCTATCCAATGGTAACTTGTGTTAAATAAAGTGCATATTACACGGTCCTCTTGGGAGCAAACTTTTGGCCATATTACAAAATTATGAAGATTTCCCAATCCGATATGTACAAGAGGATCCATTATATTGATATTTTGGGAAACAATCATGCGGGAGTATAAATTAGGCCTTTGAGTGATTTCACGGTAAATGTTTGAACCATTACCTTTTGTCTTTAGCAAACACAATTTTGATTGGGATGACCTATGTAAAAGTATTGATAAGATTATTAAATGTGCAGCAAATTAGTTTTTAATATAAATGATAGTGATAAGATTGATAAAGTTGTTTTTATAAGTATTTGCGGGTGAAGTATCTACGGTATTAGAAGGTAAGGTAGATTTGAACATGTCCAGCTTCTTATTGCGCCTGGAATCTACTGGAATATTACTTTTAGGGCTGTGGTTTTGGCCACTGTAACAATTCCCTCAAAAGTCTTTAGCACACGACTTCCTTGTTGCCACCCTCTTGATTTAAAAGCTTACAGAGGATTTCAACTAACGTTTATGAAATATTCCAAAACCCGTCCTTCGCCCCCAAAGAAAAGCTTTCCATTATCGTCTACACCATATACAAACGGTCACCACTTGCAAATCGAGTGTGCAAAGAATCTTGTTCAACTTTATCATCACCACACCAAGTTGAGCTCATCACAAATCATGCCCAACGTGCTCTTATTAACTTGGAACAATCGTCAAAATTCACCCCTTGGAAAGTGACATTGGCTGCACTGCTCCTACTTGTCCGAAGACTAGTTCATGACCCACACAACCTTTGCTGGGGTTAAACGGGACAAGAAGACCTTAAAATTAATAAGCAACTCATATTAAATGGGTTTAAATATGTATTTCTCTCTCTAGAAATACAATTTTATTTTGTTTTTATCTTTTCATTCTTGTCACTCACATGAAATTATTCTGTTTTTAGTCCTCATTATTGCCTCTATTATGTTAAGTGTTTGACGTGGCTAACCGTAATTTACATCAGCACTACCATGTGCTTTAATGACCTGTTAAAACATCTAAAGGTCCAGATCATATTTTAATTATAATCCATTTTTTAATTGTTTTTGGTCTTATCACGGTTAGAAACCCTAACTCATGCTTGTGTTCACATAAACAAATTCCTTGCATCTTTCACTCGCTCAAGGAAGAAAGAGGCCAAACAAACTTAGTATGTAGAAGATTACAAATAAACAAAAGAAAAAAGACTATATATATATATATATATATATAGTCTCAGTGTTGAAATTATATCTAAAATAGATAAACAATATATGTAGATCGAAGTTGAGTTGCCCGTATAAAACATTTGTGTTTTAATTCAACGTTAAGACCACGCAAACAGTTAGGAAAAAAAAAAAAACTTAGCAAAGATATTTCTTTTCTTATCTAACCTCAAAATTATATTTCAGATAGCACGAAGTATGTATGCTTAATTATATAAAAATTTTACTGAAATATTTATAATTATGTTAGGAACTAAAATGAAATGTTAATGTGATTAACATGTTTAATTAGGAAATTTTATTAGTGGATACTAATAATAGTTGATAATAAATACTAATGTGAAAAATGTTTGAGGAAATTGGGAACTAAAATAAAGTATTATTTAAATTAGGAGTAAAAAAGGCATTATAAAGTTAGGAATCAATATTATTATTTACTCCTATAAAAATATACTTCACTTTATTTTTAGTTCTTGAAAAATATAATTATCAACATATGAAATTGTCTTCTTTCAGTCTTTATTATTATTTTTATTTTGTTACTTGTTGATGTGACTAATTATATCATTGCTCATGGTGAAATGTAAAAAGGTTAATGTCATATTTTAATTATAAATTTATTATTTAAATCATTTTTAGTCTTATCACATTTATAAACTTTAATTCACATTTAAAAACATATTTTACTTGTATTTGAAACAAATTCTTCATTTAAGTGTAAAAAAGAATATGTCATATTTTAATTATAAATTCATTATTTTAATCACTTTTGGTCTTATCATATTTAGAAATATACTTCACTTGTATTTGAAACAAATGGGAGAGGAGAGTTTAGAGAGAATTTAAAGCATTATTGCATGAAAAGCTTGATGGACCACTGAAATGCTCATTTATAGGATAAACATGTAGTGTGTTTATCAAGTGGTGCATAAGAGCTATTCATTATTCCTCCTTTTTATGCATATGGTAATAGTGAATCCACGTGAGGCGATAAATGCTCCTTAAGCTAGTACTTGTCATGTACCAATACAAGTGTGGAGCTTCCTTATATAGTCTTTCTTTTTTTTAATTTAACAAGCGTTTTAAAGTATCAGACAAATATATGTAACATTGCCCTATATTAAAAATTGAGTCATGTTCTTGAGAACAAAACATCCTTATCGATATGCGTGATAGCTCTTTATGAGACATTATGCGTGAATTCTATATGCAAATGTGTGAATGTTTATATATAAATGTATGTTAAGTATGAATGTATGCGATGTATGAGTACTTATAAATGCATGTTATGTCATGATTGATTATGTAAGTTATGTATGAATGCATGTATGAGTGTTTATGGGTGCATGATATATTATGACTGATTTTGAGTGCTTATTGTCCTCACCATTCCTTTCCTTGCTTGTAATTTGTGTTAATACCTGCATGCTTCAAATTTATTTTCATTTATTTAGTTGCCTTTCTTCACTTGTAATTGCATCTTTTTCATTTGCTCTTTACTTTCCTTATAGAAAGATCAAACTTCGCTTCTCTGTCTCTACTTGCTTTTGTTTGTTTGTGTTTTTTTTCTTTTTTATTATTTAGCAATTGACCTTGAAGGCATTTTGACTTTACACTTTATAGGTGTGCCTAACTTAGAAGAATCAAACTTCTCCTCTAAGTCCTTTGAGCAATTTTAACTGGTCAGCAACTAATCTTAAAGGCATTATATGTTGGTGCTTCTCAAGTATGCTTATACTTGTCAGTAATTGACCTTGAAAATGTTCTAACCTTGTGCTTTACAAGTGCCTATACTTATTGGTCACTGATCTTGAGAGCATTCTGACCTTGTGCTTTACAGGTGATGAGTTTGTATCTTGACATACTTTTATAGTTTATATATTGATAAATGATTATTATTTTATTTAGATTTTAAATTAATTTCTATGATTATGGTGCAGATTAATATGAGAACCAAGTTGATTTTTTGGTATATTTTGGGCTCAAATTGATTGGAAAGTAAGGCTTCGCTATAGTCAGTATGCTCATACCCTAGTAGCCAGCACAATAGTACTTCAACCATGTGCACGACCATGCTTATGGCCTTGCACGACCGTGATCACTTACGAGAAGTCCAACTATGAAGAGATTTTTGGATTTTGAAACCCTATAAAAGAGAACCTAGGGGGAGCGATTTAGGCATATTTTTTTCATACTTTTCACATTTGGTTTTTACCTTATCTTTTTCATGCCTTTATCAGATCTCTTTCACATCCCCAACCTTAGTACTAGTCAGTTGCTGACAACTATTGAAGTTTTAGGAGTGCATAAAATCAAGAACGCTTCTCGTCTCTTCTCCATTGGAGACTCATCTAATTTGCATTTACTTTTTGAGTCCTATGGATTTGTGTAGTATTGTTTTGATTACCTTTTATATTATATCTGGCTAAATCTATAGCTAGGGTTATGGTAAATTCTTTGCATAACTTTATAAGATAATTTTTTATTAATAATAATTTTACATTTTCTTTCTTGATTGATATTTATCCTATTGTGTTATATTTGTATATTTGGAATTGATAACTCTTAAGCATATCATAATTAACTATATTATAGGTGACCATACCACATAAAGTTAATAGATCTATAAGGTAAAATAAGATAAAGGATTAGGTGAACCAAACTAATTTTTTTTAATTGTTATTAAATTACCAACTCATAGGCTCTTTATGCTTTCTTTTCCTTTTACTTTACATGATCATTATAATTAATAACTAGAAAAATATTGTTAACATTGCATGACCATTGAGTATTAATAGCTTTATTACGAGTAATTAGCAATCATAGAAAAACTGAAATTAGAATTAATTTAAAAGAGAACATCAAGAATTGCGAGGATGAAATCATATGTCCTAAGTTCTTCTTGATTAGTTTATTGTCAGAAGTTGTGCTAATTTTAATTCTATTTTAATCATTCATATTTGAATTCTTATTTTATTTAATTTCATATCCTTTAAGTTCAAATAATTAAATTAAAAAATTATTAATAATTAGAAATATTAGATAATTCAGAAATTTTTTTTAGAACCCTTAATTTCTTTTTGACGGGTACACTTGCCCATAAACAACAAGTATGCCTATGCTTGTTAGAGAGTGACCCTAAGAGCATTTTGACCTTGTGCTTTACAAGTGCGGTTGTGTTCCTAACTTAAAGATTCAAACTTTTTCTTGTAAGTTCTTGAGAAGACTTTTTCAGTTATGTGAAGGAGTGAGACATTAAACGTGTTTTGAAAAGAGTAGATGAAGCTTCCTCTTCTACTCTTTCCAAATATTGAAACATTCAACCTTTTATTAGAGGAAGGAAGCGAGGTACTAAGTGCATTTTGGAAAATGTCCTTCTCCACTCTTTCAAAATATCAAAGCACTGATACCTTTTATTATGTACTTGAACATGATCAATTAAGAAAATAATCTCATGAAAGAGAGCACACTCTCATCCTTAAAGTGCGGTGTTCAAAAAAACTAGTGTTTTAAAGAAAACAACAATTTATCACACTAAAAAGTATATATTTTCATCAAATGAGTGGATTGTTACTCTATAGTGTAACTATTTATTATGTCTGTAACTTATTTTGTCACTTATTTAAAAGACATAACAAGATGTAGATATCATGTTAAGGGTCAAGATTGAATATTTAATTCTATGACTTAACGTGTATAGTTTGCAATTATGTTCTAGTTATCACGCTCTAATATAAACAATTAAGATTGAGTATTTAACTTTATAATGTCAACATAT